TATCCCTATCTAGCTTCCTCGTACCGTGTTGGTCTATACCTCTCACGTGTCCCAATCACATCTCACGAGTACCTTCTATATACAAACGCCAAACGGAACAGTAGTAGCAGCCAGCAACAGCACCGCCGGCAGCTGAACTTCATCGACGACTTATCCAATCGACGCGCTCGCCTAATTGGTTAACCGAGTTCAACAGGGTGTAGAGTGGCGAGTCCTCGACTCGACACGATGTCCAACAGCGAAGGGGCGTCCGACGTGAAGGCTGCTTACGAACCTTGAGTCTTACTGTTATTATACCTGGCAAGGAAATCAGAACGATAGGGTTTGACCGGTGAATACGTAGATAACGAAATATAGTAAAGATGAAAGGAATAATTTTGAGATGAAAAAATTTTTTTTTTTTTTTTAATACATATTAATAGAAATCATCAATGGTTAAGTGATGATTTTTTGAATTAGCTGTACAGCGGTACGCGTTATGGTCGTTTTGGACGGTTCAAGTAATTCAGGACTGTTCCACGCGCGAATCGCCATGGGACGTGTGTGGGCACACGTTAGACGAGTAGCTCGCGATCAGTCGTATATGTGGTAATTAACAAATCCTTCGTGGACGCCGGCTAATGATCGTTCCTCCCTAAATAAATAATGCCATTTACATTTTCATTGCTTGTTTCGACTGCTCCCGGTTCATTTACGGCTCGTTATGTCGGCAAGTTCCCAAGTGGAACCACGCTGCGCTCATGCGTTATTTGCATACACGGTAATACAAGCATGCGTGGACGAGTCGACGGGGTATCGAGCCAAAGGTCACACCTCCATCGATCGGTAAAAAATATCGTGTTTTTTTTTTAATGATTTTTTAAAATTTTTAATAATTAATCTTTTACATCTTCGGATGATCTGTGCGGTATTGATACGAAACTATAAACTTCCAGATGATTCCTGTGGTGGGAGAGATTTGTAATTGCGGTATTTTCGTGAAATATGGAAAAACAGGTAGAATTTTTTTTTTTTTTCGATCGTTCATATTTTTTGATGGCAAATATCCAAGGAATGTGGCACATACAAGACTGTAACGTGTTTTCGCGAATTTCGAATCGTGTATAATATTGATTTGCATTGAGGACTATTTTTGTATTTTAATAAAAACGGACAATAATTCAACAGATTCAATTTTTATTTTTCGTTTAATGATTTTCACGCTTTTTCTAACTTCCGTTTTCACTCGTCAGTCTCCGCCAGCCGAGTGACGTATTTTTCTTCGGCGTTCTCGTAACTGTCAGTCGAATTGATAGAAATGACTCTCTGTGCCAAAGCCATTCGATTCGATGACAGCTAATGGCTCCCGGTGACGTTGGATACAACGTTTTATTCAGATTAGCGTAGTATTCATTTCTAAGTCTAACGGCGAATGCATTCTAAGAGAATTAAAAAAAAACAGTCCCACAATGCACCGTATTCACAGTGCCGTCTTGTAGCGCAGTAAACTTCAGACGGTTTGACATTTCCGAAGCGGGCGACTTATTCGTAACTTCACACGGGCAATTAAGGTACGTGACTGGCGCGTTTCGCGCTCATGGAAACGGAGCGACGCGCGCAGCGACTAAAGACTCCCATTTCGCTTTAGCTAGAACGAGCATACATATATATAACGCATATATAAGAGCACACGAGGCGTTTATTCTTCGTGGACACAGCTGAACATTATTTAGCCAAGAAGTGGAAGCTGCAAGATTCCCTATGGTGGAAAAGCCTAAGAAAAATTCCCTAGTATTCCCTAGAGAACCTTACGTTCCATAAGCATGCGCACTGTACCGCTGGATCGGTAGCCCAAGTCTTCGACCTATTGTACCAAGAGAAATACAGTTCACCGTACCGATTTTTATTGTGCTCGCTGGTCCATCGACTTCATTGGATGGAAGATGCTGCGAGTTCGTTAAGAAAATATCCCGCTGTTCCCGAGTAATAGCTTCGACCTAATGACGGAAACCGAATGGTTTTCAGGTTACGTAAAGGGAAGGAGGAGATAAAGAAAAGATCATAATATAACAGCATCCCTGTGGGAGATGAACGAGATGTGCGTGACCGGTAAGATTTTTTCGCGTGAAATTTCGACCAGATGAAAATACCGTAATGGCTGTCTTTGCCGACGGGGTTGGGGATTTAAGAAAAATTCGTGCCAGCAAGATGGCGAAAGACGAATGAAAAATTTCGAGCATGGTACAAAAAATATTCTACTCCGTAAAAGCCATTTGGATGCTGGATCACTGGAATCCCATTGAGACTTCTTGCACGTATGAAAAACCACAAACCACCGACGTCATTTTGCCACACCGTAAGAGCCGTCTTCTTGAATCTTTTTTCTTTTTATATATATATATGTATATACTATACAAGTGTAATAATGCGTGTTCGCCCTAAGGAATCACTCTGTATATTTCTTGAAAGACACCTGCCGTGCTCCGCATCAAGGCAGGAGGAAGATATTCCTGCTTGATGCTTCGCATTGATGCACGTAAGACGAATATTTCTGATTCATCTTTTTCTTCATTTTCCCCTTTATCTATAATATTACATACGCCTCAGTATACCTATACTTAACGTTCCTACCGACAATAGGAAGAAACGAACCAGTTCGATCGACGCACGCGACTACGTAATGACAATCCGCGTTTCGTGAATCGGCCATTTTGCCTGTTCACGAAGGAGTCGATATGCTTAAAAATACCGCATCTCGACATAACCTTAAAGGTCGTTCCCATGTAGCTGCACGTGTAATAAGAATCCCGGACTCGGGGCGCGTCAACGCATGAATTTCGAATGAACTTCGAAGAATAATAAATATTATATAAGGTATAGAGAGTTAGCACGTACGAAGCATTACAGTGTGTTAAATTCGATCTGAGATCCATTAGAGAAAACAAGATGCTTGTTTCGCGGAGATGAAGAACAATGCGAGAACCCGAGGCGACGATAATGGCGCGGCTGCTGGAGTTGGCCAATGGCGAGGACGGACAATGGTGGCGCGTAATGATAAATAGACAATAGGCCAGGACAAGACTCGGGTCAATTTAATCGGCGAAACGGTTAACGTCCAGCCATACGGTAGCCAGGAGATTAAAACCCGTAACGCAATTTCGTATTTCGCGCGGACATTCTTATAACGCGCGAGGCACCGTTTGCCGACGTTGCAGAACAGGATAAGCACTGTGGCTGCTTACGGCAGGTTTGATTTACTTCACGAATTACGCGTAGCCGATACCCCTGGACACCGTGGAGACGATGCGTTTTCACGAAGTCGACGCTAGTTTCTAGTAGCAGCTGGTAAATACCGTAGAGTTCATTAGTCCCCATAAATGTCCCATGACGAATTTTCCACGTAGAAAACTCGAGAGGCATGATATCGTAAGAAATTTATTTCAATTTTTTTTTTTTTTTTTTTTTTTTTTTT